CATTTTTTGCGATACTTTGCTGCATTATTTTAACTGACAGTTGCACGGTCATGCAATGCTGTACATAAATGAAATCTATGTCCTTTTTTCCCCACAAATAGAGCTTTCTTTTGGTGGTATTTGATCACCTGTGCATTTTTTTTATTTTTTGTGCTATAAACAAAAAAAAACCAACAATTTAAAAAAAAAAAAATAAAAAAAAATAATTTTAGACTTTTTGCTATAAAAACATATCCAGTAAAAAAAATTAAATTTTGTCAAATTTAGACCAAAATGTATTGTGCTACATGTCTTTACTAAAAACCCAATACATGTAAATTAATTGGTTTACATGAAAGTTATAGCGTCTACAAATGGCAATTTTTATATATACTGGAATTTTAAATTTTTTTTATAATCATAATGGCGGCGATCAGCGTCTTATAGCGTGACTTCGGTGGGCATTCTGGGGGGGAACTAACTGTTACTGACATCCCAATGACACAGATACAGTGATCAGTGCTAATAAAAAGCACTGACACTGTAATGATACTGAGCAGGAAGGGGTTAACATCTGTGGTGATCAAAGAGTTAACTGTGTGCTGTTTAACATAATGTGCTGTGTGTGTTTTACTTGGGAAACATGCTGCTGTGTATTTCTCTGCTGTGCAGAGAAATACACGGCAGCATATCACTGCTGGCAGGAGAGAGACCTGTGTTGTTTACACACAGGTCTCTCCCTGTCACTGTTTCAAGGCGATCGTTGGGTGCCGGTGGGGAATCTCCAGCCGGGACCTGGTGATTGGCATCTGTAGCCACCAATGGCTGCGTGGGAAATGCATATCACGTGTGTATATGTGTGTGTGTGTGTGTATATGTATGTATGTATGTATATACAGTATATGTATATTTAATGATTTTGCGCAGCCCTGTAGCAGTATTTCTGCTATAGGGAAGCGGTTAAGCTTTGACAGTGAAATGTAGAAGTGGATTGGTTAATATGCACAGCTACACCATATTCTTTGTGCACCAGTTTTAGTAAATCTCCCCCTAAGCCTAGTACTCTTATTGCTTTTACCTATACCCTGTGAAAGGGATAACTTAATTTTTCTTCAGGTGTCAACCTCAAAACCAGGGCTTTGATGCTTCCATTTTACATAAACCCTGGCTCACCAAACCTTCCCAGATGTCTACCCCAGAGTTGGGGGATGTTTTTTGTGTTTTCACTACTCTGGATCCATAACATCCTGGGCCTCTGGGTCCAAGCTGTCATTTCAGAAGGGTACATAATAGAATTTTTTTCATCGCCCCCTCCCTACTTTTTTTTTTACCTTCCAATTGCCAGCTTTAGGCAAAATAAGGCTGATATAATAACCACCTTGCCAACGACACAAGATTTATTGTCGTAGGGCGGCCAACCATGGATAAATCCAGGAAAAGAAAAGTTTAAGAAGAAAACAGAATGTTTAGTAGTTTGTGGGCAGATTCATTTGCTTTCACTACTGACGAGACAGGTTTACCAGTATGCTTTATATGTGGAGAGAAATTGGCAAACAACAAAAAGTTGAATGTTGAAAGACATTTCCAGAATATACACACAGCCTTTGCTGAAAAATATCCGGATGGAGATGAGAGAAGAAAAGCCATTTCGGGAACTGATGCGGAAGGCTGATCTGGGCAAAAATCATTTCAAGAAGTGGATGAAGTCTGCAAATTCAGCTACATATGCTAGTTTTGTGGCCACTCAGGAAATAGGCAGGGGAAGCTGTTCACAGATGGAGATTATATAAAAGAATCATTAAGATTTCAGAACATCTATTCTCTGACTTCAAAAACAAGAGTGAAATTGTGCAGAAAATCAGAGATATGCCTGTCTCTGCAAAGACTGTCAAAGACAGAACCATAAAAATGGCAGAAAACATCACCAGACAGCAAATTAAAGACATCAATTCAGCTGTGGTGTACTCAATCACCTGTGATGAGTCCAAAGACAAAGGTAATATTGAACAAATAGCTCTATTCTGCCGATTATGTGAACTCTGCTGGGCCACAGGAAGAAAGGTAAGAAAGGTGTAAAAAAAACAATATATGCAGTGTTATCTTCATTTTAGATGTCCTAAGGGTTTTGTGGCTCCCAGTGGTTTTTTTTGTGGGAAACGGGTCCAAATGGCTCTGAGTGTTTACGGTTGCTGACCCCAGAGCTAGATAATCAATTTTCAAAAGTCTACTCTTCGGCCCTCACACTGTACCTGGGTCTAATCTTGGGCACAGCCCAAGCCATATTCTTCCTCCATCAGAAGAAAATGACCTCCCTAAGGTCCAACTCCCTGACCCCCAGGTCATGACATCCCTCAATTCACTTCTGCATGAAGTTTATGAACCTCATAGTGGCCTCCTTCGAAGCAGTTTCCTTTGCCCAATTTCACTCCAGACCCCTTCGGTACAACATCCTCAAGACTTGGAGCAAACAAATCTAACCCTTTGATCGCACAATGCTTATTTCCAGCCAAACAAAGCTCTCACAGGACTTGGAGCATGGTAATGACAGATGCGAGCCTTACAGGCTAGCATTAGGTTTACAACTGACTCTCCAGGATACATGGTCCTTGCAGGAGTAGAAAACTCCCCAACATTCTGGAACTAAAAGCCTTGAGTTTTCTCTACAAGATTGGATCTCCTTTCTACATGGTCATCCAGTCAGAGTACATTTGGGCAATGGCACAGCCACATAATTCATTAAGGGGGCACTAGAAGCTTAGCAGCCCTAAAAGAGACAAGTTTAGTACTCTTATGGGAAGAAACTTGCATTCCGGCTGTTGGCAGGCTGACTTTCTAAACTGTCAATTTACTAGATTAGGGAAAGTGGTCTCTGTGCACTGAGATCTTTCAAAATTTCTAAGGTGGGGAAAACCAAATGTAGACATTCTGGCCCCCGGATTCAACAAGAAGCTGAACAAGTTGGTGGCCAGTACTAGGGATCTTCTAGCTTTTGCAGTTGATTCTCTGGTTATTCCTTGGACTCAATTCTGACTGGCTTATGCTTTTTCTCCGATGAACATTTCTTTCGACTGCTATGCAGGATAGAGGGTTGAAAGAGTCTCGGACTTCTAGACCTATTGGCTCAGGCCCCCCTGTTCCATCCTGCTTTTCAGTTACTGGCTTTAATGTCATTGCTTTCAAAAATACACGTCCTAAAGTATAGGGGTATCTCTAATCCACCTTACTCGGAGCAAGGAAATCCAAATGCCTACAAGAGTTACTATTGCGCATAGAAGGCGTTCTTTGCATAGTGCGAAGACGGCAAGATTAATCCTAGGGAATATTCTCTCACTCGTATTTTGGCCTTTCTCTAGTCTGGTCTTGACCAGTGTCTATCCCTGAGTACCCTCAAAGGACAGGTTCCGTACTTACCCATTCTCTTCCAGAAACCTCTTGCTACGCAATCCTTTATCAAGACTTTTCTATAGGAAGTTACTCCATATAATTCCCCCAATCCATCCTGTGATCACAACGTGGTTTTCAAGATGGTAACAGAGATCCCCCTGCGCTAATATGGTACCTAATTCTATATGCTGCTAACACCCTATCATCTACCTATAAGTGCACAAATATAAATGATACAATAATGTTATTAATTTTTGTATCACAACGTGGTGTTATCTGCTCTTCAGAGATCCAACTTTGAACCATTTAGAGACATTCCTTTGGAAGACCTCACATGTAAGGTTGCCTTCTTGGCAGGGGTCTCCAAACGTTCTAAATGAAGGGCCAGTGCACTGTCCTTCAAACTTTAGAGGGGCCGGACTGTGGCCAGCAGGAGTTGAAAATGTGTCAGTGAGAGTAAACATTGCCACATTTTTGGGCAATACATATATTGTGGGTTTTTTTTTTTTTGTTGGTCGTTCTTTAAAAAAAAATATATATATATATATTGAATGTTGTCTTGCAAAAATTATATTTTTTCCACAATCCTTTTAGACAATTAAATGTAACAAGACAACAACAAAAAGCACTTTTTTCTTTTTTTTTTCAGCAGTCTTAGTTTAAAATGTAATAGTTTTACTTCAAATAAAAAGTGCACATTTCATCCTCTAATTTGTCCTGTTTAATATGACAATAAAATTATGATTCTGGTACAAATTATTGAAAAGTTATTTACAAATTTTTTTCAATGTGAAACAGAAATATGTTAAAGGTTTAAAAATATTAACAAACAATGCAAAAAAAAGTTTTAATATTAGTTTATAAAATAGAAATGAACAAAAAAAAGCAGGAAAATTACAACTAAATGGAGAATAAGGAGTTAATCAGGGCTGAGTAAATTAAAAGCATTTTTTAAAAATGTTTTTGTATATTTAAAAAGCGTTTTGTGCTTGATAAACTGTTGTGCCAATATCGTGTGACATAAAAAATTGGAACTGTCACCATGTTATTATCCAGGGTCTCAACTTTCAGAAAATCTATACTGTTTGATGATATTAAATAATATTCAAGTCAAAAATTATTATTTAGTTATACTTTAAGTGTAAACGTCCTCCTCCTGGCTCCATATAATGGCCTTCAGCCCTGGTGATTGCCTGCTTAGGCACAGAATTATGGGAGGCATAGGGAAGATTATTTTCTCCTATACCTTTTTTTTTATGGTGCATGCTACAGAGGACAGCTTTATTCAATACAATTCACACTAGTCAGTGTTTGTGTGAGAAATTGTCATCTACATTACGTTGTATAATGGATAGCTGTAGTTTAGCACATATAGAATACGGATATAAAATCCTAAATATATTTATTTATCATTTCACAAGGTATATATGTGTGTGTGTGTGTGTATATGTGTGTATATGTATATATATATATATATATATATATATATATATATATATAATCTCTATCATGCCACCACTTTTTAGACTTTTTTTTTTTTTTTATAAAGTACTAGTTCTTTTTTTCCTTTTGGCTTACATGTGGTGTAATCACACTTAAACCATGTCCTATTGTTCCATCCTAGAGTTCATTTTGGAATGAATGGATCAATGCGCATTAATCCAGCAGAGAGGAAGGATGGAAGCGGAGCTCCAGCAGTTCTAGAAGTGCAGCTCACCAAGGATTTGATTTGCTTTTATGATTCCACGATAGATGTCAGGTAATGCTAAGGCCTCCCTTCATTGTGTCTAATAGCTCCACAGCTATCCTGTGGGTTAAAAAAAAAATTGACCAATGTGCCCATTAGTTTTATTTTATATATATATATATATATATATATATATATATATTATTCTTTTTGCTCTTGTAAAAATATTCTAAACATGGAATCTGTAATAATTGGTATTCACTTAGCTAACAAAGGGGTATTTAGCTCCTGCTAATACAAAGTGAAGAATCATTTGCTCTTTGACACTCTTCAAATCTCTGTCTGCCCAGTCCCTGCTTACCAAAGGGCAGCTACAATCTCTTCAGCACATCTAAAACATTTAAAGGATAAGTTCACCTTTTAGAAAAAAGGTAAAACATGTGCATTTATTAGTTTTTGTCTACAGGACAATCAGTAGATCGCTAATACCATGCAGGTCTCCTGCAGACCTGTCAGTATATCTGCGAGCAAGCAGATATAATGACAGGAAGCTTCAATAAACTACCATGGCACTCCACAGCGCCATGGTAGTTCATTGAAAACGACAAGCCAACAGCCGCTAAGGCTGTTAACTTGCAGTTCATTTATTCAAGAAAGTCCATGAATGAATGACGCGGCCGTGTGGGCGGAACCCAGCACTGCTGCGCTGTTTTAAAATTTAACAGATAGTGCACGGAGACTTCTCCGTGTACCATCTGTCAGAGGGGGGGGGCGCGGCGGCTGCGGCTATGGGAACATGTTACATGGTCCACCCTAAAAACGGGTGGAACATGTATCCTGTTCCCAAAGGTGAACTTATGCTTTAAAATTACATAATTAAGCCAAATTGTAGGTGCTACAAAGCTGTTTTTTTTTTTTTTTTTTTTCCCAATATCATTTACAGATACAAAAAGCTGTCTTATCTGTCATACATAGGAAGATAATCCATTTCCACCGAGTAGGTAAGAATATCACTGTGTCACTCCGTTTTCTTCAGTCATTCTCATGCCACATTTTTGCATCCAGTAAGATTTATAAGATGTATTCAACTGTACTAGTTTGTAAAGTATCCATTGTTCCCAGTTGAATTATTCTACTTGTGTTTTTGCCAAAGGTGACCTGTAAGAACAAATGCAGATTGTGGCTGTGTGTGTGTGTGTGTGTATATGTATGTATTAAATACTCCCTTCTGACTGTACTTTGATGCAATGTTTTTTAGACATCAGATGTGTAGTACATACAATATACTGTATGTGTTCTGCTTAAGGTGATGATAGTAATGCATTTGCAACAACGACCGTATACTATGCGAGTACAATTTTAAAATTTTTAAAATTCCCTTTAAAGTAGTAGTAAAGTCCGCTTTGTGATTTTTGCCAACATGTAGGCTTATAATAAAGCTTACCTATAGGTAAAATGAATATCTCCTAAATGTGCAGTGGTTAGGAGATATTTGCTCTTTTGGCAGCCGTTGCATGCTCTTTGAAGTAACGGCATACCTGTGCCGCTCTTTCAGAGCACTGTGCCGTGGCCCGTGACTCCTGTGCGCATGTGCAGGAGTGACATCATTTTGGCTTGGCCATTCAAGCTGCCACAGCCTGTGAACCCGGAAGGAAGACAGAGTAAAGATGGAAGTGCACCGCTGTAGGACTGTTCTAAGGCAAGTCTTTCATAATGTGCTAGTATGCGATGCATACTAGCACATTATACAATTTCCTTGCAGGGGATTATTTTTTTTTTTTTTAAGCCACAGTTTATTACCACTTTTTGCATGTAAAAAAAAAATGCATTTATTTATTTATTTTTTTGGAGCCTGTAAAGCATACTCATAGATCATGGGTGCCATGCAGGACTCCTGCAGACTTGTCTGTATCTCTCTTGACTCTTTTACCGGCTCCTTAGTAATCAGCTATTCTTTGGTTCTTAACCACTTTCTGCCCATTGGTTGTACTATTTACGGCCTAGGGTTCGAGTGGTTATACCAGGATCATGGTTGCAGTTACAACCCTGTTCCTGGTATCAATCTTTGCAGCCAGTGATTCCCTACAATATAAAAGTGATCCATGAGCCAGCGGCTTTACAGCCACAGGATCACTTTTTACAAGGCAGTACTAGCAAGAAACCACTGAAAAAAAGAGGATTACTGCAAATCGCCATTCTGACATGGCCCTTAGAGATGTCAGCAGTCTGCGGCAGGCAAGAGTAAACATTTCCTAACTATCTAACCTAGATAGTAACTCAATGACTACTGTATCATAATAAAGGTATATCATTTTTTTTTTTTATTACACTGTTGCTGTATATTATGTCAGGAATGTATACCTACAGACTTCTAAAGGTACTAAAAAAAGAAAGTTTAAGTGTTCAATACACATAGCATAACATACATGTAGAACAACATTTAGCTTTAA